AGAGAGAGAGAGAGATTTTCTATCTAATTAATCATCCCCTTGTTCCCTATTATTAGTAAATAGTAACTGTTCTGGCAAAGTGTTTTTTCTATTGAATAAATTGTCACCTTTTCTTTTTGTGAATGTTAATTCAGGAATTTGTCACCTGGTTTCTTGCTTTGAATATTGCGAGTATTGCTTATAAGATACTGAAATTCCACTTTTTCATGTGATTTTATTCATTGTTAATCTGATTTAGTGAACTGCTAGTAACCTCTTTCGGTCTTTTGACTCATTTAGTATGATGAGTGTGTCGGGACTCGCCCCTGGCTGAAGCAATTTCTCTGCCGAGTCCTCAGGACTCAGGATTCTGCTCAGGACTCAACCGAGTCCAGCACAAGGCCAAAAGGTCCTAAAAGAATTTTAAAAAAATTACAAAAATTGAAAGATTAAAAACATGTATTAAAAGTAAATTCAAACCTGAAACAACTTTAAAGTTAAATCAAGCTTAAAAAAGTAGAGAAAAAATAGATTTAAAAAACCCAATTTACAATTTGGGACATTTTAAAAAATCCAAAAAAAGAAAATATAAAATATTAATTATGGCAAAAAAAACTCACCAATCTTTGCCAAATACATCCAAATCTTGTAAGAAAAAATTCGTATAACATATTTTTATTTATTCGAAAATTTTTAAATGCCCCGAGTTGTACACACAAATCCTGGGTACTCGGCCTCACCCTGTAACTTGGCTGTGTCTGAGTTGACTCGGCTGATTCCCGGCACACTGCTTGTAAATATTTGTTTGACTTTGTAGATTCTCTATCTATATACTGTGTGAGAAATTATAACCTCACTACTGGTTAAATATATTTCACTCAAACCTGAAGAATTTGTTATAAAGTGGCTCCTCATTTAGTGAATGTAAGTTATATGTTAGTTATATGCTTCTTATGAGTGGCTCTGTTTTTACTGTATGCTAGTTAATGGGCTTCATTTAAATTTTCTTTTATCTATAAAGTGATATGCACTGATAAGCAATATATGATTTTTTCTTCTTACCCGCTCTTTTCTTTATACTATATTTTTTTGTGAGTGGGGTTGTTACCTTCCTAATCTAGGTGATTAAGAGATTGACGGAACCAGGAAAACATTAATCTAGTATGTCTAGGTGCTGTTCTTACATGATATGGTTCTTTGTCATTGCATCACATTTTGAAGTTTCTTTAAATTGCTAAATGAGCACAAACCATTTTCCAATTTTGTAGGGTCTTTCGCTTGGAGTCATATGGCTTCATGAGGGGTTAAGAAAAACTGTATCTGGGATACTTTATATATGGGGTCCTGGGCCAAGATAGAAAACCATTAAGTATGATAGCAAATTCAGGTAAACAATTTGGTATATCATAGGAGCTAGATAAGGCAGACAAATTCCTTCAGGATTTATTTGACATGTATGTGTATATTGGTTTATCTTATTGCATCCAACTTTATTTCTGTCATTTTTTTTTTCTTCTTTATTTTAGCCTGGTGTTCCTAAATTCTTGATGCAGTCATCCAAGAAAGTGTTATTGAGATTAGAAAACTGCTTCCTTTATGTGAGCGTGCGCACACACGTGTGTGTGTGTGCAAGTGTTCACGCATGTGTGTTTGATTTCCTGTTATTTTCTAAATCTAACCTTATAACAGAAAATGGACTTTTGTTTGTTTTTGTTGTGTGTGTGTGTGTGTGTGTGTGGAAGCCCATGTGTGTGCGTGTGTGCATGTGTGCATGTGTGCGTGTGAGTGCACATGTGTGTGTGTGCATGCACGTGATTTCCTATTATTTCCTAAATCTAACCTTATGATAGAAAATGGATTTTTTACTCATTTAGGAGTTTACAGGGTTTGGAGAACGTAACGGGACAACTGAAACCATATCAGGATGGTATAACAAATACCTTGGTAGAATAGTTAAAATTTAGATGAGGTACTAATGGTCAGCCTATTTCTATTTATTATTTATTTGACGATATACTTGTTGACTCCTTTTTGTCTTACTCTTTTCAGATATTTATGTACCAGTATGTAGTAAGAAAATTTGGTATATGTAACTTTTGCAATTTTTAAAAATTTTAAAACCTGCCATTACCATTTTAGAAATCTTAATCCATAGGGAGTTTTGTCCGCACTGTTCCACTTTAGGTTTGAGTGAAATTTGAGGCATTCTTGCTCACTGATAAGAGATAAGGAAACTCACTACCCACAAGAAAATTGGAAAAGTTTGTTAGTTCTTCATTACAACTTGATACTTGGGCTGTTGTTGTTTCACAAGCTAATGGATAGCTACACTCCTGCTAACTTGTATTGTTTGTTTTGTGAGGTACTGAGGTTGCCCCAAGTGAAATAGTTGGTAGTAGGACTTTCTCTAACTTGATAATTAAATAGATTCGTGGAATTCAACATTCGGGATTACACAGGATCCCCATTTGATTCTCAAGTAACCTGTTACTGCCATACATTGATGTATGCAAAGTTTCCTAGGAAATACTTCAACCATTTTATCCTGTTTCTTTTTTATCAGTTCAGCATTATTTCTCCTTGACAAAACTACTTTGAAAACTATCTTTGAGTGCATCCAAATCTAATTCTATACCTTATTATTTTGATGCTCTTAAGACAACTAAGGTAGTTGGTACTTGCTGTATTAATAAATCCAATGTTGATATGCTATATTCTGCTTCAATGGTATGGCTAACTTTCCTCCTTTACTTGTAGCAGAAAATCAAGCTCTCGTAATTTAATGCATTGTGCATTACCTACTTCACTCTTTTTGCAGATGTGCGATTGTAGAAGAATTAGCTGGACTTGGAGCATCAGTGTACACTTGTTGTCGTAATGAAGTTGATCTTGACAAGTGCTTGGATGAGTGGAAGGGAATGGGATTGAATGTGCATGGTTCGGTTTGTGATTTATCATCCCGTATGGAAAGGCAGAAACTGATTGAAGCTGTATCTTCATATTTTAAAGGAAAGCTCAATATTCTTGTACGTGTCTTATCTTTTACCCCAAATTTTATCCTATTCGTAAATTCTGTGAGTTTTTTTTTTTTCTTGAAATTGTAAATGCATTTCCTTTTGCTTCACTAATTATGGAATAATTTCGAAATGGATAGATCAATAACTTGAATATTTCTTTATATCTTTGAAAGTGAAAAAATGGTCCATTTTAACCTTTTCCTTACAAATATATCACTCAATATGAAAAATGAACAGTATTCTTGATAGAACTTTTGCCAATCTTCCCTTAAAATTGAATATATGCTTGTCCTTGAACTGACTATGACTAATTTTTTGTTGCCTGTGTAGACAGAGGTTCTTCCCTTATTCTGAGCTTGTTTTTTCATCAGGACCCTGTATGTTGAGATGGTTTATCTGTATAAAGTTTCCTTTATTTTCTGCAATAATATATCTGGTGATTGATATGTTTCCTTAGGAACTTAGAGGGCCTTTCTTTTTTTACATGGTTTGCATTTAATAATATTCAAATATTCATGTACCTTGCCTCTGGTTAATTATTATTTTTTTGGGTTGCCAATCTTGGTTTACATGGGCGATAAATTTCAAGGTTTGAATCATTTACTGAACAAGATGTTCTCACTTGCATTTTGAGAAGGAGGCAGTGGTGTTCTTGTCATCCTACACTTCCTTTCATTCTTCTTCATAGTAAATAAGGACAGCAAACCATATGGAGTATGGTATATGGTATTCCAAAGTGTCATTCACCTTCCATTCTGGATGACAAATGGTGCAAATCCCTTATATCTCGGATATTATCCCATGGACCAACTAGAATAACCCCCAGCATTCATCATTGGGAACAGATGACTGATGTCCATATGGAATACCATCCACGGATTCATGGTATACATAGTAAACACCTTAATTTATTTTGAATAGACTCAGTCGACCACGGCAAGGAAGTAAAATTTTGGTTTCATCCATGTTGAGAATTTGGCAACTTTATATGAAAAGCATGTCATGCGAAAACATGCATATACATATCTGAAACTCAACTTTTCCAGTTATCAGCTCAATAGACTGATTCTTTCTTCTTGTTTGGAGTGTTATCTTTTGTTCGGAATCGTTGATGCTTCAAATTTCCTACTTTTTTTGGTTCCCTTTTTTATACGCCAACAATTGCATAGCAACTAAGAGATCGAAGCATACATGTACTTTGGTGCCTCTGGGCTCCTGTTTTATGTAGAATTTGTTGTTTTTCTTTCCATAATGCTTATAATTGAATAATAAATTGGCTTATGGTTCAGGGGTTAGTTTATTGGTTTTACCATTCTAATTCAAAGAGTTGGGCCTGTTCGGCTTGATGGGCTTAGGTGAATAATGTAGGAACAAACAGACTAAAGCCTACTGTGGAATATACAGCTGATGACTTCTCCTTTACAATGGCAACCAACTTTGAATCTGCTTATCATATGTGTCAACTTGCACATCCTCTTCTCAAAGCATCAGAAGCAGGAAGTATTGTATTCATGTCCTCTGTGGCTAGCATTGTTGCTGTAAATTCTTGTACCATATATGGAGCAACTAAAGGTAACAGTAAATCTGATATTTTCTTTCTCATTGCTTCAAAGTTCAGTACTCTTACATGCCATACTTTATCATACCCATTCTCCCTCATTTGGATGCCTTTCTTAGCTGCTATGAATCAGTTAACCAAAAATTTGGCATGTGAGTGGGCAAGTGACAATATTCGGACCAATTGCGTGGCACCTTGGGTCATAATGACACCTCTTGCAAAAAAAGTAAGTTCTTATTTGAATTCGATCAGCCCAAGGGCCAACAGTTGTCCGTACACTAAACCCTCATTGCATGAATAATTTATATTCTGCTTTAGAGTGGTCAATATATAGGTGACTGATATTTTGTTTGATGAGTACAAGTTATAGTGAAGTTTGGGCAATTGCAAGGTTTTAGTCATAAGATAGAATTTTGGTATATTCTCATTCTGGTTCTTTGTCCAAAACCATTTTATGCAATCCTGTCTTATTGATAATTGTGCCCCTTTTTAGTAAATTTGCTTTTCAATATTTTCTAAACTTTTGTGATGACGTATTTCTTGATTTTCCCTATATGTTTCCCTCTATGTTTGGATTATAATTTAAATGATAAAATTTTCATTAGATATTTGTGTAACGCACATTCAATTAGCTTGTGCGTTCATGCGCGAGTATTTGGAAACTCCTTAAATATTGTTCCAATAAAAAATTGTATTATTTCAGTTCTCCATATTTTTAAGGAAAAAATTTATATAAGGTTGCAACCTTAAAATGTAGTTTAAAGGTGCACCTCAAAAATCCATCATAAAAGTTGTTTTGATGCTGGAAAACCCTTTCAACATCGAGATGAATGAGTATGAAAAGAAAAAAAGATTTCGAGTCCCAAAAATAGTGTAGCTTGCAACACATTATCTGGACCACCCATTTTCAAGATTCTTGTTTGTTCATAGATCTACTTGATTTGAACCATTTTTGGAGTTTCAAATTTTATAATTAGAGACAAAAATAGATTCTCAAGCTATCTTAAGAATTTTTTACACCAAAATTAGATTTATATTAAAATTTGGAAGCGTGCCTTAATTTGATTGTTAAAGTTGTAACTCTATGCAAACCGCAACCTGTTTTTAAAGATGTTATCAAAAGATGAAAAATCTTGATATCTTCTATGAGATTTTCTCGTAAGAAGTTACTCAAAGAATTTGTCACTTTGATCATGGCCTTTTAACAATGGCGTTTTCTATGACGGTGAAGTTAGTAACCATTGGTAGTGGTGGTAGTACAGTGGAAGAAGTGTGCTGGTGAAACTACATTCGGATCTGAACTCCTTTCCCCTTCCTCCACCCAATATTAATCTTAATTCCTTCTTCCTGCAGTATTTTGAAGCAGAGAAGAATACAGAAAGTGTAGTCGCGCGAACCCCTCTCGGCCGCTTAGGGGAGCCAGAGGAAGTCTCATCAGTGGTTGCTTCCTTTGCATGCCATCTGCATCATATATCACAGGGCAAGTCATTTGTGTTGATGGTGGAATGACTGTAAATGGTTGGTATCGATAGGACAGAATATCTCTCTCTCCTTAGCACATGAAATTAGGTCCACTATTTTATGTATGTGCATGTGTTAATAATGTTTGTGATTTGTATTGAGGTGATCGTTGGGGATGATGTCTCCAGTTCATTGTCAATTTTGATTAACAAATTTGTATTCAGCTAAGTGCCCCGCACACATATGTTGAGTGCTTTCACGCAATGGTTTTGTAGTAATATGATAATACAAATATTCAAAAATCATGTTAAGGGCATTTGTTTGACCCCGGTTGTAACATACACTATTTTCATTCAGATGAAAAATCTCGAAAAAATAAAATTTGGAAAAATCACTTTAAAAAGTGATTTTATTATTTATTTATTTTTAAAGCAAAGAACACAGGCACTTCATTTTAATGGATAATTAGATCTAGGCTTTTTTGGGATTTTTTTTTCTTATCTGAAATTTTGTAGATGATTTTATCATTAGTATATAAATAATTTTGAAAAAGAAAAAAAATGATTTGGAGTTCTTAAAAGTCTAGAACTCAATGTCCACCAAATGAATGATATGAATATGGAGGATTCGTTTTGGAGTTTCCTAGATCGGGATCCGGGTGTCTACATGGAGATATGAAAACTAATGAATAGCAGAGTAGTCTATTAATGAGGTGCACAATGGTGGAAAAGCCCTCTGGCCAAAAAAACTGTGGTAGATCACTAGCGTACATCATTGAAAGATTGCTTTCAACAATATGGTAGTGCTTCCGTTCGATGACGTCATTTTGAGTAGTACATAGAAATGATTATTGATGATAGATTCCATGTTGATTCAAATCTTAGTTAGATACATGAGAGGTAAATTCACCGTCACTATCTGACCTAAAGGTTTTAAGTTTATAGGCAAATTGACGTTCAACATAAGCATGTAATTTAACAAATCGATCAAACACATCAGATTTTTGTTTTAGAAAATATATCCAAGTAACCAAGTATAGTCTTGTACAAATGTTGCATATAAAACCAAGAACTAGATAGAGAAGTAATAGGTACGGGACTAGATCAAGAGGTGCCTTAGACTTGCTACCATTAAGATCAAGGGTAGATTTAGATTGTTTGTGTAATTAGCAAGCTGAACATAATGAACCAATAAGTCATCAGCAAAGTTGGGAAGACTTGATTCTCTTCTTAGATGTGAACAATAGAAAAACTACGATGACATAGACGCTCATGCCACAAGATAGACATTGCTCCTTTAGTTTGATATGGGCATAGCCAAACCATAGAGTTGGTCAGTTTGAAGTACATATAAGTCCTCTCAGCACCCCCTTAACGGTCACCTTCCCATTTTGTTGGTCCTTTACAAAAGAGTGAATTCAAATATGGTTACTAAGGAGGTCTTAGAAGACTTAAACTATAGACCAAGACCTTTGGGGATATAAAGGATTATATCTTGATCACTAACTGGACTACCAATCATTGTAAGGTGGTCACATATGGTTTCGAACTTGTTCATATATTCAGTCACATTCAGTCATTAATTGAGCTCCCCTCTGCCCCTTAGCAAATTGATAAATTTAGATTTAAGTTGGAGAACATTTGCAAATATTTTTTTTTTTTTGGGGTAAGTCAGTGGGGGAGAAAGTCCCCTACCCTTTTTTCATTGATAAGGATAAGACAAAATACAACTCATAATTTAACAAACCTGACCGTAAGGAATTTGTGCAAGAGGTAAAAGGAGATTAAGAACACCATATTTCTTTTTGATATGTATGGTAAAGCGTCTCCCACACTTCTTGAGCTATCTTCAGAGCATCACTTCAAGGACTACTTCGGTACAAGAGGTGCGGATAGATTTCCAACCACTTCGGTACAAGACGTGCTATTGAGGCCTACAGGGACTACTTCAGTAGATGAGGTGCCAAAGTTACTTATTCTCAGAATGACACTGAACAGCACAATGGATTGGGACTTCGAAAAACCTTTCAAGGCAAACCTTCAACCTTTTCAAAGGCACTACGATGGAGTTGATATTGAAACTTGGAAGCAACAGGACATAACTTTCATTTTCAAAAGGACAAACCTTTTAGATTTGAGGAAGTAAGACTGTCATGAATCCTTGCAATGAGACGTGTTGGCTGTTGATAATTGTCTTGATTTCATTTCATATAGGACTGATTTTTTATTAATTTGAGATTTGCCATTAACTCAATTTCTTATTGTGTAGAATTTGTTTTTATGGGATAAGGTATCATTAGCTTAAGATTGTCATAAGAGTCTACCTATCATGGGATAGAGATTGATTCCATCTTTCGTGTACTTACTTTTGGGCTTTTTCTCTTCTTTCTATCGGGATATTTCGTATTGAGAGAAAAAGTGCATAGAAAGAAGGGAATTTCACTTAATTACTTTTGAGGTTTTTTGTTCTCTTTATTGGATGTTTTGGAGAGAGAAAAAGTGCATAGAAAGAAGTAAATCTTTTTGGATTTTTTATTACTTACATTTGAGGTTTTTTTTTTTCTCTATTGGGATGTTTTGTTGAGAGAAAAAATACAATAAAAAAAAAAAAGAATTTCACATATTTATTTTTGGGGTTTTCTCTTCTTTCTATTAGGATATTTAGTGGAAAGAGAAAATACATATAAAGAAAAGAATCTTTTTTGATCATTTTTATAAAGAGGGAAAATTACAAAAAAAGAAAGAAAGAAAGCTTAGTAGGTATATCAGTTATAACTAGGATCCGTAAGTGCATTATAATTTTCATTTTTGGTTTAGTGGAATACAATGGATTGTGGTTATAAGTGATATAATCGGGATGCACTTACGGATCGTAGTTGTAACTGATATAATCCCTTGAAGCTCTAAAACCATTGAATCGTAGTTTTAAGTGACCCTCCCCTATTTTAAAACTTTGAAGTCAACGCTTTCTTTATTAGAAGCTCCTACTATGCACATGATATATGCGGTGGCCACACCTCGCGCCAATGCTCATACAACGCCACTGAGGCATTGCTTGTTTCAAATCTTAGATGGGGAATAAATCATCCCTTGTGAGGCCAATAAATTTTGGAAAAAGATAGAGATTAGCCATTAGCTCATATGAACATATGAGACCAATGTTTTAGATTGAATTTGGACCGATTTGACGATCACGGATGTTCAGTAGTGTTTGAATTTTAGTTTTTTTTTTTTACAAATTAAAATCATTTGAAATTTTAAGCATGTGTTCATAAAAAATATTTGAATCTTCAAAAAATATCAAAAAAATATTTTACCTGAAATAAATTGATCAAAATACCTCCGAAAAGTTTCGGCGGGTATTTTGGTCATTCTATTTTTCAAGAATAATTAATTATATTTTTATTAAGTGTGCCTTGATGAGAAGAACATAAACCTAAAAATTCAAGTGATTTGGATTTGTAGAAAAAAATAATAATTTAAATACTAGTGGACATCCGTGATCGTCAGATCGGTTCAGATTCAATCTAAGCTGTTGAGCTCATATGTTCATATGAGCGAGTGGGTTAATCCCATCTTTTTCCATAAACTTTGGAGTAAATAACACAAGTTTATGGGATTTGTTTGGGAAAATATATAATGAGACTATTTACCTTTGGTACAAGGTGATCACAATTAATCTTAACCATCTGATGTGAAATTGGGCGGCTGCATTTATTTCATTGACCAAGCTCTAAGTTCAAATTTTTTTTTTTTGAACTTTGTGATATCCATGCTATCAGATTTCATATCGAATAGGTATGGGTAATTGTGACCTTCATATACTAAAAGTAAATAGCCTCATTCTATACCATCCCCATTTGTTTTGAGTTGTATTTTGGGGTAAATCACGATAGTTCATAGAATATTAAAAAAACATAGAATAGCAATCGCTCATTGAGGACCTTTAAACTTTGGGGTACATAAGACAAGTTCATAAGATATTTAAAAAATAAAATAATTATAGCTCATTGAGCACCTTTAGTTGATATGCCCATTTTAGAATATGTTTCAAGTTGCTCTTTCTATTTTTCTATTATTGTTCATTACAAGCATAAATTTGTTTATTTATTTTTCCAATTTCATTAGAACATGATTATAAATTTATATTTCTAAATTCTATATTTTTGTCGATATTAATTATTACACCTTAGGTTTATTTAATGGAAAAAGTTTATATGAGGATGCAACCTTAAATGTAGAATTAAAGATGCGTCTCAAAAATCTATCGGAAAATGTTGTTTTTATTTTGAAACACCCTCTAATTTATCATCTCGATATCAAGATGTATAAATATGGAAAAAAAAGAAGATTTTGAGTCCTAGAAATAGTGTATCTTACAACACATTATCTAGACCGTCCATTTTCAATATTTTCATATGTTTATAGATCTATTTGATTTTAACCATTTTTGAAGTTTAAAAGTTTATAATTAAATATAAAAATAGATTTTGAGATAATTCTAAGAATTGTTTGCACTAAAATTTCGTGATTAAATTTGGAGGCAACCACCCTTATTTAATTGGCAACATATACTTTTTGCTTGCTAAATCTCGTGGGCATTTTAGATAGACATTTGAAGGTGGGCGGATGTGGTTAAAATGACTCGTAATGATGTGTATCTTTGTCTTTTGTTCCTCCCGATAACGCAAATATTTATCGGGTTAGTGCCTTGTTTCTATGGTGTTTAGCTGAAAAATGGATGGGTTTGTAAATATTTGGAGAGGTTTCTTTTTTTTTTTTTTTTTTTTTTAAAAAAAAAATTGTGGCCATGAGGCAAGACTTTGGAAATGATTCAATTAATTGAAATTTGTGGTTGTTTACTTTCAAATAATATGCAAAAAAAAAAAAAAATTTAGCAAAATACAAGGTACATGTCCTCCCTTATCATCTCTAGAGAGAGAAAGAGAAGCCTCATAAAATAAATCGATAGAAACAATCAAAATGTAATCAACAAGCATTTAAACACGAAACAATATTTCAATATTCACTTATTTTTGCAATATAATGAAAATTCATAATGCATTGTCTTTATTTTTTCTTGAAATTCTAATTACATTTTTTATAATAATTTTTAGTGATTTTTTGAAAGTTTTTAAGATCAAATCCTATCGATTCACCCGATGCTCCAATCCGAATCGTCGATCCACTTAACCAACCTGATTTTTTGGATAGACGATCCGTTTTTTCAAACGTTGCCTTAAAACCATGATCGCCCAAATTCTATTAAGCAATCATACTCTTATACGTGCAAAGCATGCTAATTCATTCAATTCCT